ACATATATATATATATATATATAATTAGAAGAATAGAAGAAAATGAAAATATCAGGTTGAGAAAATATAAATTCAAGGTGCTGAAAAAGACGACCAAAAATCCTGATTTTCGGCCTGGCAAAAATGAAACATGCGCAAAGCAATAAATAATTATTAATGAAATAAAACAAACAAAATTATGAACAAATCTACAGCCTGCCTTCCGCAATAAAATTACAAGATGCATAAAGCAGCATGATTTTCGTTAGTGTCCAGGTAGTTTTTTTGAGCATTTCAGAATCATAAGCTCGAACTGATAATTGAATTGCCAGGAGGGGTTAAAAATGATCCGAAACAACAACGCAGCGCTGTCGTCTTCATGCAACGGAAATCGAATGATTCGATCACACCTGGGACAATCACAGCTGCTTAAATTTAAGTCGTCACTTTAATTTTTAAGAATGTCATTGCTAGTGCAAAGCTTTCGGAAAGCAAGGTCAAATTCAAAAACTAAAAACACGTTTGACTATAAATGAGCCACCCCGAAGTTATTTGAAGTGGCCTTAAAAGAGAAAGACAGGGCAGCGGAAAAATCAGTTGTTGAACATAAATTGGCACGACTGAAAACAACTTGCAGTTTCCAGACAATATTCTGATCTCTGCAGGTCAACAGAGAATTCAAAAGCTGAACGATACCAGCATGAAAGTAGGATGGAAAATGAAGCTGAAGAAGATTAAGGTAATATAAAACAAATATATCAAGCCTTGCTGTGTTGAATTCAACAGGCTTAAGCTTGAACAGGTACAAAATCACGTCACGTTCATCTCTGAAACGGAGAAATGACCATGTAAAATCAAGAAACGAACAGCACTTTTGGATGACCAAAAGTGTTCTTATTCTAAAAACTATCATTGTGCTTAAAACGGAAAGTACTAGGCTCCCAGTGCTAACTTACATGGATCCTTAACATGAAAGCTATTCATTATTCACAGACTACACAAAGTAGCTTGGAAAGCTGTATGTTTGGAACAGCAAGAAGAAACAAGAAGACGAACAAATGAGTAAGACCATAAACAAGAGTCTGGAATGTCAGTGCATGTGGGATCAAGCTGAATTGGACGGGACATGTTGCAAGAAAAACTAGAAACACATTATACCAGAGAGAGTTCAACTGGATCGGATCGCTGGAGCAGAAAGACGTCAGATTCACTTCGAAAAGATAGTAAACGGCTAGTATGAAGTGCCCCAGATCGATGAGCTGAAGGAGTTCCTGGATCCTGATGGATAAAAATGGCAAAAAACAGTTCATTATGGCAAGTATTGCAGATGTCCTCACATAACAGCGAATGGATGTATGTGATATGTGTGAATGGAGAGTGAACAGTAAGGCATATGATAATACGCTGGCCACGTCAAATGACTGTCATCTGCAATCTTCATCTACAACCTTTAATAAATACCTCTGCAGTGGCCAAATTTTCGCATCCTGTAAAACCGCTTTGTCGGTG